TTTTTTTTAGACAGGTCTCACTCTTGCCCAGGTTGGAGTACAGTGGTGCAATCATAGCTCATTGCACCCTCAGACTCCTGGGCTCAAGAGATTCTCACACTTCAGCCTCCTGAATAGCTATGACTACAGGAGTGTGCCACCATGCCTGGCTAATTTATTTTTTTTAATTAATTAATTTTTTTGTAGAGACAAGGTCTCACTGTGTTCTCCAGGCTGGTTTGAGGGAACTCCCGGCCTCAAATGATCCTCCTGCCTTGGCCTCCTAAAGTGCAGGAATTATAGGTGTAAGCCACCACACCCAACAAATTTTTAACTAAGTAGTCTTGGTATAACTTGCTAGCCATTTGGACAAAGGTATAGTTAAAGCCATATCTCTTATAATGCTTTATCAGAATAATTGTAAATGAATTAAAGATTTAAATGTAGAAAATAAAATCATAAAAGTACTATGTGACAGCATAGGTGAATTTCCTGTATTACCTTGGAATGAACTTTCTCATTATGAGTCAAAATCAAGGAGTAGATTTAGCCAGTGGGAGATCTTTCAAGCTGGTTCATACATCCTTGTGATATCCTCCCATAGGTTGGTTATCTGGGTGGTTTGTTGTCATTAATAAACATCTGAACATTTAACTCTTGGAATGGTAGTTCTAAAACTTCAGATTGCATGCACGAGAATCTCTGAGAAATCTTTTTAGAAATATAGATTGCTAGATCTCACCTCTAGAGATTCTGGCTCTGGGAAAGAGTATAGTTATCTACGTTTTAAACATATAATCTTAGAAAACAAATACCAAATACTCATCATCCTGAAATTAAGGATATCAATGAGAAGTAAATTGAATCATGCCATGCTACTTGGGGTACTTAGGCATGCAAGGTAATTCCATACTTGAAGCCAGGCCTAAGATGTGTGGAGATTTCTATCCCCGGGACAACTTCCATCCCCTCAGTCTTAACAGTATCCTCTTCATTCCAAGATGGGTACTGAATTTCATTGCATAAAGAAAACAGTCTAGGCTGGGCATGGTGTCTCATGCCTATAATCCCAGCACTTTAGGAGGCTGAGGTGGGTGGATCATCTGAGGTCAGGAGTTCAAGACCAGTCTGGCCAACATGGCCAAACCCTGTCTCTACTAAAAATACAAAAATTAGCTGGGCATGGTAGCACATGCCTATAATCTCAGCTACTCAGGAGGCTGAGGCAGGAGAATCACTTGAACCTGGGAAGCAGAGGTTGCAGTGAACCAAGATCACGCTATTGCACTCCAGCCTGGGTGACAGAGTGAGACTCTGTCTCAAAAAAAAAAAAAAGAAAGAAAACAGTCTGATGAAACTTAGAAACTAAGGAATATTTTCTCATTGGTTCAGTATGAATTGAAATATCTGATACTTTGAGGAAGGGCTTACATAGTCTTAATTTTAGGGAAGGGGGTAATTTTTAAAGTAGGCAGTTTTTTTTTTTTTTCCTTTTTATTGAGATGGAGTCTGGCTGTGTTGCCCAGGCTGGTCTTGAACTCCTGGGATCAAGTGATCCACCTGCCTCGGGCTCTGAAAGTGCTGGGTTTACAGGCATGAGCTATCATGCCTGGCTTATTCACGTGGTTCAAATGTAGAAAATATAGAGCAAAAATCTACCTGATACTTTTGTATTCTGTCAGTTCCCAATGTCCCCATAACTATCCTTCTTGGGTTTATCTATTTATTTATTTTTAAGTTACTTTGAGATGAGGTTTTGCTGTGTTGTCCAGGCTGGTCTTGAACTCCTGTTCCTGGTCTCAAGTGATCCTCCTGCCTCAGCCTCCCAAAGTGCTGGGATTATAGGCATGAGCCACTGTGCCTGACTCTTGAGTTTCTTTATTTGTATGTAAGCAAATACAAATAAAATATTTTTATTGTCCCTCTCTTTTTATGCAAAAGGAAATACACATTTTTGTACATTGTTTTTCTTTTAATAATATATTTTGAATATCTTTCTGTATTAGTACATAGAGACCACTTCTCTCTCTCTCTCTTTTTTTTTTTTTTTTTTTTTTTACAGCTGCATAGAACTCCATTATATGGATATACTATAATTTATTTAGCCAGGCCCCTGTCAATTGACATTTAGGTTATTTCTAGCGAACTATCTTGTATATATGTCACTGTGTATCCATATAAGATTATCTGTAGGATAATTTCCCCACAGTGGAATTGCCAAATCAAATTATATATTTTTGTAATTTTGATAGATATTGCCACATTTGCCTCCATAGAGGTTGTATCAATACACATATCCACCAGCAGTAATTCCTCACAACGTTACTAATGGCATATGTCATCAAACTTTAGGAGTTTTCCATTCTGTTAGATAGTATAACAGTGCAGTTTTAATATGTATTTATCTTATTTTGAGTGAGGTTAAGGGTCTTTTTATATATTTCACTGTCTGGTCATATTTTTTTAGGGCTAAGTCTTAAAAACAATTATTTTCTTCATAGGTAGAACTGCTAGTACAGTGCCATACTTAGAATTCAGTGAAAACTTGGTTGAACCAGATTTAGCAGTTCTTCACTTTCTGGCATAACAACATGTTCCAGGATCAACTTGTACCTACCCTGCCCCAGCTGTGGAATGAGCCATTTCTCTGAGGAGCACTGGGTTTTCTTAATAGGCAACTATATTTTAGATCAAGAGCTGGCACTAGGTACGCTCCTTGCTACTGGAGTGTATTTTCTTGGCACCTTAATTGCACAGAGCTAGGAAACATGCATGTCTATATACATATACACATATATACACACATACGTATTCATATACATGTGAAACATGTGCATATACATGCTAAATGTACATATTTTAGAAATGCTGAGTTCACACAGATAATGCTAATTCCCATTCATATCTACCAATTTCTTTCTTGCTTTTCACCATGTATATTCCTTTTTCCTAAGTGAGAGCTGATTTCCAGCAACTTCGACAATGTACCCATTTTGCTCAATTCTATAAGGGCTCATATTGTGTTGTTTCTGGTGAGCTGTCTTGTATGTATATCCATTGTGTATCCATTACATGTGTCCACTTTGTAATACAACTGAAACAATCCAGCATCACTTCACCCATTTCACTGTAGTAAATTGTAACTTGTTTTTTAAAAGTTAAAAAAATTGATATTTCCTTAAAAATAAGTCATAATTAAAAGGAGTTTACCTAAATTAGATTTTTTTTGTTTCATAAGGGATCCATTGGGGCAATATACGAGGAATTCTTTCATGTAAGCTTTAGAGCAATTATTTTTAGAAATTCTCCTTAAAACTTTGATAAGGACACTGTATTAGAGTTTATCTAATTAAAAGCAGGATATTTAGTAGTTTTAAGATAATTAAAAAGGGTTTGTTATTAACTATGCTGATAGTCAAGTAGTTGTTTTAGATATAACATTAAAATATGCAAGGCCGGGCGCGGTGCCTCACGCCTGTAATCCCAGCATTTTGGGAGGCCGAGGCAGG